TCTCAATTGCATGCTTAATTAGTTTAATTAATAAGAAGTTAGCATTCAATAAAATCCCTGATTATAATTAGATTTCAAAATATGGCATTTTGTTGTGTGTTGGATTTTTCCTTTTTGAAGCCAGATTGGGCCTGGTCTTGGGCCATTTGGCCATGGCACTTGGCCCAGACCTAAGCAGAGAGTCTGCTTCTAGAAAGTAATAGCTGGCAATTTTAGTTACAAAATATTCCCTCCCCTCTCTCATTTTCCCTAAATTCACGCTGAATTATTCCCTGCCAAACTCTCTCTTATTCACTATCCTGACCACATGCTCACATTCTATAAAAGGGACTCTACACTCCTCACACACACACACGTTAAGACTGCATGTTTTCAAATATCTTTCATTCTTCTTCACTCTCATTTTTTGGAGAAGTTTCTGAAACTCCAGTCCCAAAGGTTCTAAAACAAAAAACTAAAAGAAAAGGTTCAAGGTTTTGTTTTGAGTTCAAATCTTCTGCTACAAGTTCTGGGTTTATAGCTGTTGAAGTTAGAGAAGAGTCACTGTCTTGTTGCTATATTCATTCTCCTGGATTAAGCTGTAAATTTGAGTTTCAGGTTGTTCCTTGTTTTCTGTTGCTATTTCACTGCCAATAGGTGCGTTTATCCATCTTGTTGGTTTCTACTTGGACTATAAATGAAATTAGATTGTTTATGCCGCACTCTTGCAAATTTATCATAATTTCAGCAGTGTAAAGTCTAAATCTGTTGTGGTTTCATCCTTGCTAATCTGTGCAAATGTTGGAATCTTAAGATCATGTGATGCTTTGTTGAATGTCAATAGTTGATTTAACATATGTTAGAATGTCATTTTGTTCCTTTCTTTTTCTTTCCTTTCTTTCTGAAATGTGTGTGAGTTTTCTTTATGTTTACTTCATTGTGAAATGATGCAGGAATTGGTTCATGTTTTCTTTCAATTTGCTCATCATAGTATTTTTAACAAGTGGGGATAGCTCTGTAGCTATTCTGTCACAAAGCTTTAACAAGCCAAAAGATCATGAGATGTGGCGATTACAGAAAACTATTTGTTCATTTGAACGTGTAAGTAGCTTAAAGCATCATCTTAATGTATATCTTGCAACAAATTTTCAGATGTATAAATTAATTGTCAATCGTGTTTAAATCTAGCATCAGTTCAGTTTATTGAAAGTGCTTAATCATAGTTCAGTCAGTTTAGTAGATTAATAATGCATATTATCATTTTTGACCAATCATGTGCTTGTGAACAAACGTGTAACGGATTAGGTGCAGCAAAACAAATTTTCCTTAGGTAAGCTTATGGTATTTTTTTCTTCGTTCATTTGGGCCTTTGCTCGAGGGCTAGACTTCAAAAGAAGTGAGCAGTGGAAGGTCTCGCAGTTGGGCTTCATTTGAAAGCCTATTTGGACGTCAGTCACTTCATGATCGACTTAGAGGGTGTTTGGCTAAGCTTATAAGCTGGTCAAACTGACTTATAAGCACTTTTTGACTTATCTACGCGTTTGGTAAAATTAAAAGTGCTTATAAGCCAAAAGTCATAAGTTGGTCTCCCCCAGCTTATCAAATTTCAGCTTATAAGCACTTTAGGTTTGACCAAAATATTTACTATTCTATCCCTAAAATACTTCTTTTTAAAACAAAACTCTTCGTATACCCAGTTATTCAACTGCTTATTATTAATTTCAGCACTTTTAACCAAACACGTAACTGCTTATTTTTTAAATCAGCTTCAGCACTTAAAAGTGCTTTTCAGCACTTAATGCTTATCAGCTACTCTAAATCAGCTAAGCCAAACGGGCTCTTAGTCTCTTTAAATAAATGTGATCGGCTTTTTTTTTCTTACGATCAATTCATTTGACCTCCTTTCATTTAGTCAAGTAGATGAACCTTCTAATCAATCCAATAGTTAATTTCACAAGGAATTTTTCATAAATTGTGACTTCACAACAAATTTCAAAGTAGTTTAGGAAAACAATTCGTGAATAATCGTAGTTTTGCTTTAGGCACGTAATTAAATCATTACAACTACGGGTACGGTTCCCGTGACGTAGTTGTGATACATAAATTCCAATTCGAGTGTGCGTTACGCGTGACCCGTTCATAACTTCAAACAATAATAAAATAGACATGTTGTAGATCGCTGGTACGGTTCACATGACGCGATTCGTAATGTGTACAAAAATAAACGAGTGCACGATATCGCGACTTGTTCAAACAAACACCATACATAATTAAAAGCGATTCTAAAAAGTCAAAAATGCACAATAGGTTTTTGATATGTATTAATCAAATAATTAGGCCAATTATTAATAGTTGAGCGACCGTGCTAAAATCACGAAACTCGAAAATGCCTAACACCTTCTCCCGGGTTAACAGAATTCCTTACCCGGCCTTCTGGTTTCGCAGACTTTAAAACAGAGTCAAATTTTCTCGATTTGGGATTTAAAATAAACCGGTGATTTGGGACACCATCAAATTATTCTAAGTGACGACTCTGAATTAAATAAATAATCTCATTTCGGTTAATGATACTTTAATTAGAAAAACTCCCTATCCCCTCGGAAAAAAGAAGGTGTGACAGATATAATAACAATAACAATAACAAAGACAATGCAAGTTGATAATAACGATAATTAAAGCATATAAAGAAGGCACAAATTTAACGTGGTTCGGTCAAAATGACCTACATCCACAAGCGGAGAGGAGTAATTTCACTATAACAATCGGTACACAAAAGAGAGTACAAAATTAGAGATGAAACTCTAATCATCCCAAAATATATCTCAAGAGAATAACCTCGCAATAATCACTCACAAAGAAGAGGTTCACTCAAAGTGTTTCCCAACACTAACTCTATGGAATATAATAAAACTCTCTATTACAAGAATACTCAAAATGAGTTTCTAATCAAAATATGGGAGGATTCAAATGAAGTAAGATGGCCTATATTTATAGGGCAAAGTTCTTGGTCCCCAGGGAAAGAAAAAAGAATTAAAAAAAATACTTTTATTCTTTGGCTCCAAGATTGAATACTTTGGCTCCAAGATTGAATATTTTGGCTCCAAGATTAGCCATGAACAAATTTAGTTCATGTCTTACAAATCTCCATATTTGCCTAAATTGGATGATATAGTTATTTTAGTCCACCTCCAAAAAAGCCCCAATGGGCTTATGTCAAAATTTAATGCAATCAAAATCATACAAGTTGTCTGATATCGAAACTGTAGTAGTGCCCATAACAGTAGATCCCAATAAAGTATACAATGAACCAGATCTGTGTGCTTTCATGATCACAAGAGCACGCTGAAAAATTTCCAGAACTCCACCTTCACCAGTGAATTTGCACCCAAGAGATTCTAAAGTGCCCAAAGAGATGAGATTTTTCTTTAACTCAGGAACATATCTAACATTGGTGAGAGTTCTCACCACACCATCGTGCATTTTGATCTGAATTGTACCTTTGCCAATAACGTTACAAGTAGCATTGTTATCCAATTGGACAACTCCACCTTCAACTGAATCATATGTAGAAAACAAGTCCCTGTTGGGACACATATGGTACGAACAACCGGAATCTAAAATTCACTCATTGTCCAATTTGAAACTAATTTCAGTTGCTAAAAATATAGTTCTCTCAATCTCATCAGTTGCTAAACTAGCTTCGGTGGTGTCAGTATCTTTGTGCTCGTTTTTTCTTTCCTTATGCTTTTCTTTATTTTTCAACTTATAGCATTCGGAGATAATGTAACCTTTCTTATGACAATAGCGAAACTCTAAATTATTATATCTGGATGTTGAGTCGGATTTACCCCTAACGAACAAGCCAACTTTCGCTTAAGTTCCGCTAGCTTCCCCAGTAATATCACTATCTATCTGTTCTTTTGATTTTAAGATAGATTTAATATCCTTATAAGAGATATTATCTTTTGCATAAAGCATAGTATCTCTCTTATATGCTTAAAAAATGGGGGTAGAGAACAAAGCAGTAATACGGCTTGATCCTCATCTTTAATTTCAGCATCTATATTATTCAAATCCATAAGAAATGAAGATGTCAAGATGAGAGAGATAGAGGTACCTTTACCCATAGGAGTTGTATAAAGCTTTTGCTTCAGGTAAAGTCTATTTTCCACCATTCTCTTCATATACAAGGTTTTTAATTTTTCCATGCCTTTGGTTGTGGTTTCTACAGAAACTTCACGTAAAACCTCATTTGAGAGATTTAAGATAATATCTGATTTTGCCTTTTTGTCTATGGTAGCAAATTCTTCGTCCGTCATTTTATCCGGCTTTTTCTCCTTTCCTTGCAACCCCAAATCTAAGCCATCCTGAATTAGGATAGCTTCCTTCTTTAATGATCACATTCCGAAATTTGCACTTCAGTCAAATTTCTCAACATAAATCTTTGTTTAGAGTCATATATTGACCACTGAAACAAACCTACCGGCTCTGATACCAATTTGTTAGGATCGAAAATTCGGATAGTGTAGAATTTAGCCAAACAACGATATAATGGCAATAACAAAGACAATGCAAGTTAATAATAAAGACAATAAAAACATATGAAGAAGGCACAAATTCAACGTGATTCGATCAAAATGACCCACATCCACAAGCGACAGGAATAATTTCAACAACGGATACACGAAAGAGAGTATAAAATTAGAGATAAAACTCCAATTATCTCAAAATACATCCCAAGAGGATAATCTCGCAATAATCACTCACAAAGAAAGTATTTCCCAACGCTAAGTCTATGGAATATAATAAAATTTTCTGTTACAAGAATGCTAAAAGTAAGTTTTTAATCAAAATATGAAATGATTCAAATGAAGTAAGACGACCTATATTTATAGGGCAAAGTTCTTGATCCCCAAGTAAAAAAAAAAAAAAAAAAAATTTTCTTTGACTCCAAGATCGAATACTTCGACTCCAACATTAGCCATAAACAAATTTAGACCATGTCTCACAGTATATGACAATTACAGAAAGGTGATTTTCTCTTTTATTATCATAATAATAGGAACACCAACACCTTGCAAATGTTAGCAAACTAACTACTCAGTGTTAGAACTGTACAGCAGAATTTTGTTTTGATTAAAGAGCAACCGGATTCTCTGATCCAAAAAACTTATCAAGAATCAGCTATCTTTTGGCAAAAAGAAAAGGGACAGCCATTGTCCTATTTTTTTTCCTTTACCTAGAATCTCAAAAAAAACCTCGCTAAACTAACATAGTAAACATTCAAAAACTCTGACCATTGCATAAATCCAGTAATCAACGAATAATACTAAATCCATCTGATCAAAGCAGGAGTACATCATCTTGCTAGCCTGCGCGGAAGGTCTCAGTAGAACCCATTGATTATACTCATTACTGAACTAACAGAATTTTATTGGAAGTCAAAGAAACTCAGGTCATCCAAGCTGAAGTTGAAGTCCTCCGGCCGTCCTGGCTTTAGAAAATCAAAATTATAATCATCCACGATAGGTGCTTGCTGCTGCATTTGCTGCGAATCATCCAATGTCTTACCATCTGTATTTTGCAACTGATATGACAGATTCGAAAACTGATTGTTGTCATAAGCAGCACTCTGCAGTCGATACGAAGGATCATAGACATACTGATCTTGATTGACAGGAACAGAACCAGAAACTTGGTTGGGAGCCGAGGCATCCAGTGGAGTCGAATCTAGCACGCCTAATAGCTCATCCACATCAAACATCTCATCATCAAAACATAAGTTGTCAAGATTATTATCCTGTCCACTCTTCACTGAATCGTAATCAAAGGCAACAGGCTCTTCTTTAGTTTCAACAATCTCTCTATTACCCAACTCCCCCTTAGCCTCATCTTTCGCTTCCTCTTTCACTGAGCTTGAAGGTGTTCCAGCTTCATAAAAAGCACTCCTCGCGCCATCACTTCTCGATTCACATTCGAGGTCCTCAAATTTAATCTTAGGAATGTTGGTCTCAGTGAGACTTGAGGCTGTTGTAGAATCAGACTGAGACATTGTAGGCAACGAGGAATCATCCTTATTAGACTCATTCGACGAAGGGTAATTCGGAAGATTAAGCCTAGCACAAGTACCATACATTGCTCTAGCAGCTTCATCATAAGCTAAAGCAGCTTCAATCGCAGTCTCAAAAGTACCTAACCAAAGCCTACTCCCTCTATGTGGTTCCCGAATCTCAGCAACCCATTTACCCCATGTCCTTTGCCTAACACCTCTGTATTTACACCGCCCGTTTTCGGGTCCTCCTTTACCTTTCATACATCCTTTCTTTGATCCTTTAGCAGGAACTTTACGCACCGGTTTCTTCCCATCATCACTAGACTCTAGCTTTTCATTGACCTCTTTCCACTTCGCTAGTGTCTCTGCTACATTCTTTGGTGCATCTTTTCTACTCCTTGATTTCCTCTTTCTTGTATAATCCAATGGTAAAGACATCATATTTGAAGCCTGATCAAGTATAGCCATATCTCTGTTCACGTACATAAAGAGGAAAATTATTATCAGATATAATACTATCTATAGACTAGGTAAGTAAACATCAGCCTTTAATAAAAAAAACATTTCCTTCCTCAGCAAGAAACCCAAAAATAAAAATAACACCTTTTCTTCGCGACCAAGAAAACCAGTTGCATTCGGCCAAAAAAAGAGAAGTCGCAAAATTACAGATTCAATATGAAAAATAAAACGACGGTCCAAAATTACACCAATTTATTTTAACCGTATTCAGCAATAACTCTCAGAGACTATCCACAAACACTCACAATTTTAGCAAAAATATCCAACACGAAACCGGGGCGGATGCAGGCTTGAATATACGAGTTCAAAAAACCCAAAAATTTTAACCCCAAAAAATTTACTAAATACGAAAAAAGCGTAATTAGTCAATTACTAACACATTATGTCGTTTCAGTCCTAAAATCCTTCAAATTTAAATTCGCCTCTAACACGAAGAACATATTAACCAAATATGACAAATTGTGATTTGATACAAGTACATATAAAGGATGAAAATCAACCTACCTTGATATATTATCAGAAAACTGCAGCAAATTCACCTCCTCTTGAACAATCTCCGCAAATCGTTCAATTCGCTTCACAAAACCTTCGCTTTTTTACTTTTCTTCTGCTTTAAATGGAAATTAAACAGAATTGGGCAACAGATCGGAATAGTTTGGTTTGATTTAATACTATTTTGAGAGTGATTTTTTCTTGGACAAGTTTCTTACACGAAGAGAATCAGAAAACCAAGGGAGAGGAAATTCCGAAAGGGTATTTATAGACTTCACCAGATATTTTTAAATTGAGTTTTTTCTTTTTATTTTTTATAATTAATAATTAAATATCTAGTGTTTGTAAATGTGGTGACGTGGCAAGTGCTCGATTGAGTCGTGGCTCTTTGACTGCCGCGGGATATGACACGTGTCAGTAGAAAGTTCACGAATTTCTCGTTTTTCACTTTTCTTTGTGCTGAAGAAATCCTGTTTTGCTTTATATAATTGACCTTAATTTTGAAATATATTTCAATTATGCCATTGGGTTCGAGATTTATCTGATTTCTTCACTAGGGGGTTTCAGAGACTGCCAACTTCCAGGAGACAACCATTACAAGTTGACAAAGTTAGTGGCTAATTATATGACATGTTTAAGGCTTGTTTGTCACAGGTATTTATTAGTTGTGCACACAATTAAAAGACGAGGTAAATATTTTATTGGAAAATATCATTATAAAGTACATATTATTATTTAAAGTTTATTATATCACAGGAAGAATTATCAAAAACTCTTTCCATTTTAATTTATGTAAATTTATGTCCTTTTTAATCCGTGCTAAAAAAATAATTTCCTCTTTTATTTGAAAATAATTTACTTTTATGCATGACCCCTATTTTACGGAAAGAATTACAAGAATACACATGACTTCACATCATAAGAAAAAATAGCCCATGTTTTTAAGTTTTACCCGACCTAGCCCATATATTGTACATATTTTGAAAGCACTAGCAAATTCAAAGTTTGTGTTCTTACAACCGTTGCTTCTAAGAGCTATGGAGTTAAATCTCTGTTCTCACAACTATTGTTTTCACTCTCTCTTCTTCTCACATCTTCTATATATGCTTCAAGGAAGCCGTGTATTTTCTGCTTCTCCCCCCGTATCACCTGGTTGCAATGTAAGAAAAGTGAAGAGTAGAAGTCCACTATTGAAAGCCATTCAAAGCTTTGCTTTCGAGAATATAATTTTTTGAGTTTGTTAGTTGTTTGGATTGGGTATTATTCCAATTGATTGAAAATATCAAAAGGAGTTCAAAATTTAAATTTGAAGTGATTTGGAGTAGATTTGAGCAAGATTTGAGTTAAATTTTAGAAAAGACGCAAGGAAGAACACGAAGTCAGTTTTTTGTATAATTACGTATAATCTTGTATAATAGTGTATATGAGTGTATAAACACATCTTATACACTATTATATAATTTTATGCACCTTTATACAAACGTCTTTAGACGAACTTCTTCTACGATTTTCAGTTGCAATTCTTGTTCAAAACCAGTCCAAATCTCCATTAAATGACTTCAAATTTTATATACAACATCCTTATACTATTTCTAACAAGTCTAAATAACATCCACTCTAGATCTCGCACAAAATCAAACTCGGAATTTAAACCCACATATTAAGCTTGTTAAAAATTTAATTTTCACCACCGAAATGGATTTGGTTTGTTGAATTAATATTTGAGTCACAGTTACTGATTCGAAAATTAACTTAAAAGCTTGAGCAATCTTTTTAAAAATTAAATAGTAATTTCGAGAACCTATTGGAATTGAATGTTGAGTATTAGCTTATTTTTTGGATTAATTAGTTATAAATTAAAATATAGGCTATAAAATTGAGGAGTAAGGAACCCAATTATTCTTATGTCAAATTTTCCTATTTTACGACTTATCCGTAATTCTTAAGTAACATGATAGCTCCACCACATTCTTTTTCTTTTTCTTTGTATGTATTCTTCCTTTTTTTTTTTAAATTTATAAGCTTATATGATTGTCTAATTCAAGTTAACTAATACTATCCCGTGTTCGGAATATACAAAGCTAATTAATCTTTATCCATGCCGTAAAAAGTCTATTTTAAATAATTAAAAATAAATGAATACTTACTATTTCATCTTTATTGTTTGATAATGTAAACAGACTTTTCAACCTATTACTTTAATATTTTTACAGTCATCACTAGCATAGAAATCAAATTGACGCGTGATATCATATCACAAGTGTACATGTACTTTTGCATTTTTTTTAAATCTTTTGTTAACATTTTTTTATTTCATCACTAAATCTCAAACTAATACTTAACCTTTTAACTCAATCAATAACCTATCTATTGGATTGGCTAGCTTATTAATTTTCGATTCCCAATCTCATAATTCTCGTCAAGGGCGGAACTAGAGTATTGGGAGCCGGTTCGGCCGAACTCACTAGCTTTAATACAAATCTCGTATTCGTCTTTAAAAATCTATTGAAGATGTACAAATTATTAATTTAGACTCCAGTAACTAAAAAGGATTAGAATTTCGAACCCATAAGATTGAAATCCTAGCTCCGCCTCTTATTCTCATCCCCATTCTTCATACCCTCCCCTAAAGTATGATAAAATTTCTTGAAAGAAAAAAAAAAGCGAAGTGAATAAAGGAAAATATAATAAAAACGAAAGTTGAGAAATTAACCACTGATACTTGTATTAGGATAGATTGTCTGCATCGTATTTTTTCGGATATGATTCTTTCTCGGACCTTGTATGAATTGTTATCCTACTTTATTGTTACGTAGCAATAGAAGCCTGCTTATGCTGCTTCGGCGGCGCTTTTTCGCCTTCTCTTCGCTCTGGACAGGAGTGCTAGTGGACACAGGGAGGGAGCAGGCGAAGCGTGTCGTTCGTAATAGAAAGAAAGATACCAGTACTTTGCCTCTTTGTTGGACCGCCGGCGCGAACACAGTGGTCTTTGACTGGAGATGCTCTGTGCACTGAACTGCTTGTTTTTTATACTTTTTTCTGTGTTAATTTAAATGATATACTTCCCTTATTAGGTCGTTCCACAAAAAATAATATATTTATATATTTGAAAATAATTTAATTTTAAACTTTTTATTTTACTTACTTTATGCCCCTTAAGTTTATAGGATTATATGTCTCAAATTTTTGTTTTTTAATTTGCGTCAAATCAAACAACATCATCCAAATTAAAATGAAGATAATAAAGATCAAAGCCGCCAGTGTGATTCTCCAAAAAAAAAAAAATAACTGGGGACAATAAGATACCGTTTTGATATTGCATGGCTGACACTTATCAATTTACAAAATGTAACTCGTGGGAAATGGATTGGTTTGACGCGTTGGATAGGCCGATGTCATCAGTGACATCGTTTTCTCTTTTCACGTCTTTTTTTTTTTTTTTTTTTTTTTTTGTCTTTTTTGTTTTTTAAAGAGTTCGTCAACAGTAAGCTGATTGCTCAACCTTGCGGCTCTATGGATAACGACTTTTCCCCTTGCCTACGGTTCCTTTTTTCACGTCACATGGGGTAGCGTACGTGATGGCTGATGCATATCCTCATTTTTAGGGAAAATACACAAATAGTCGTTCTTAGGGTTGTTATTGATGAATTCTTCCGTACTTATTTTATTCTGAAAATTTTAATTAAAAATTTTTATTATAGGACAAACGAAATTTTAATCCCGAAAATTAAATTGAAAAATTATATTCATGACATATTTTTTAATTCTTAAATAGCAATTCTTTAGAGTGGCAACCTAATATCATTTTTGATGGGGATTATCATGTGATAATAGCAATGGCTAGTTAGTTTTCGAACTGACAACCGAAAAATAACCAGCATTTGCAAAGTTATTGAAAAATAGCTATTGTTTTGCTGAAACACTAAAAGTTGCTGCATAATATGGGGGATTATGGAGCTCATGCGTATAAATTTCCAGCATATTATGTTGGAACACCAGCACACGAAAAGTTGCAGCATAATATGCGGGATTATGAAGCTACTACATATAACTTCCCGCATGTTATGTTGGAACTCCAGCACATTATACTGGAAGGTCATATATAAAAAATTCGAACTCCCGCATACTACGCTGGAATATTTCTGGATTTTTAAGGGTGTTTTTGTTCATATTTTATATTTACATGAAAAAGTGGCTAAATTTTGATTACTTTTAAAATTGTGGCTTCAATTATTAATTGTACGTAAAAATTATGTGGGGTAGCCACTTTTTAAAGTGGTATTTACTTTTTATCCAGCAGTTTTAATGCTTAGCAATAGTAGCTACTAGTCTATAAAAAGACAATGTTAACCTTTCCTTCCCAAACGGAAATACACCATTTTCCTTGTCCGGTCTGTAAACATGTCATTCACCACTGTCGGCGAGAACTCACTCTATAACTTGGTTGATCTCTTCCTCCTTCTGCTCTTTTCTGTTTTTTGTTTTATCAGTCTTAATTTCAAGTTTTTGTTTTGTTTTGTTTTTGCTTGTGATTATGATTTTAAAGTTTACGTGGAATAAAAGAAGAATTCTGTTATGATTTTAAAGTTTATGTGGACATGTAGTCCTGAAGTCCAGAACTTAGGGTTACAAGTTCAAAAGTTAAGGACATGTAGTCCTGAAGTCCTGAAGTTAAGTTCAAAAGTCAAGGACATGTAGTCCTGAAGTCCTGAAGTTAAGTTCAAAAGTTAAACATGTAGTCCTGAAGTCCTGAACTTAGTGTTACAAGTTCAAAAGTTAAGGACATGTAGTCCTGAAGTCCTAAAGTTAAGTTCAAAAGTTAAGGACATGTAGGACTTCAAATGTAGTCCTGAAGTCCTGAAGTTAAGTTCAAAATTTGATCACGCCCAACTATGCCTTATAAAAAGGACAATGCAGACGTTGCAAATATAACCTGAGTATTGTGCCCAGAGTCGAATCCACAGAGAATTAACCTATCAATCACTATCTTTAGACCTACTAAACTCTTTAGAATCAATTTCCCAAACGTTGAGAATCACAGTTGATGGTATTTTTAATAACTAAGATCAACAGTAACTAATAGCTACAAATTAAAGATGCTAAGCTGTAAACAATAATGAGAAAGTGCTAAGGTAATGATTTCCCCTATTGATGGAATTCCTTCTGTTTATGCTTCATACAAATTTACCAACACATCTCTATCAATCATAAACGCTCATCTTACCGTAAATCTCTCCCGAGTAATCA